TAATACATTTGTTTGCTATTGTACTACTCTTCTGAGAAATGTCTGTTCATTTGTTCATTTTTATTTGGATTATTCGTTTTTGTTAAGTTTTTTGAGCTTTTGTATAGTATCACTATTAATCCTTTTCCTGATAGACTTCAAGTATTTTCTTGTGTTCTGTGAGCTGTCTCTTCACTCATTTCTTACACTGTGCGGAAGCTTGTAACTGGATGGAGTGTCGTCTGTTAGGTTTTGCTTTTATTTCCTGTGCTCGGGGGATCATAGCCAAAAAATTATTGTCTGTACCAGGACCTTGAAGTGTTTCCCATAAGTTTTCTTCCAGTATTTTGAGAATTTCTGGTCTTACACTTAGGTCTCTGATCTATTTTGAGTTGATAGGCACAGGGTTAAAGACGGGTCAAGTTTCAACCTTCTGCATATGGATATCCAGTTTGCCCAGCACCCTTTATCGAAGAGGCTTTTTCTCCAGTTAACACTTTTGCCGCCTTTGTCAAAAATCAGTTCATTGTAGATGCTTAGGTTTACTTCTGAAATCTTCGTGGTCTTCCACTGTTCAGTTTTATGCCATTGACATGCCGTTTGGGTTACAATGGTTCTATACATGCCCTGAAATCGGGTACTATGATGAATTTTTATGCTTCCATGTGAATTTTAAAATAGTTTTTTCTAGTTCTGTGAAGTGGTGTGATGGAGTTGTTTGATGGAGATTGTGTGAATTTGTGTACCACTTTAGGTAGTATGGATGTTTTACCAACATGAATTCTACCAATCTATCAGTATAGAAGTTCTTTCCAATATTTGTGTCTTCCTCAATTTAACTAATCAGTGTCTTGTCATTTTCATTGTAAAGGTCTCTCATTTCCTTAGTTAAATTTATTCCTAGGTAATTTTTTGTAACTATCATGAATATAACTGTTTTTATTTTCATGGGTACTATTTAAGCTCTGGATCTTAAGTAGATAAGATTCAAGCCAGGATCTGTAGTATTAGGCCTGAAGAGCTAATCATTTATAAGATGCCGTACATCCAAGAGCAGTGGTCTACAGGACACACCAGAGAAGCCATCCTGAAGAACCCAACATTTAAGAGTCTGAATCCTTAACTTTTCAACCAAGATACTTTGATCTTTATTAAGCTCCCTTGACCTCTTTCTCGGCCTTCCTGGGTGTTGTTTCTCTGTGCCTGACCACTACTCTGGTGGAAAACTCTTACTCAGAGGAGAGGAATGATAGTTCAAGGACGGTGGGCAGCAGCTGCACGCTTTGTCAGAGGGGAATCTCACCACCTTCAGATCACACCAGGCAAGACAGGTCTGGGCCCTCCCCGGGGACGGGGCTCATCTCTGTGGCAGTTTGGGTCTTGTGGTTTTCCTTCATACACTGAATCGGTTATTTTTCTCACTTAGCAATGACATCCAAGCTCAGTAATAACCAAGTTCTTCTTGAGAATTCTGAGAAGATAAGAAGTGAGAACGAAAGGCCTTGCACATAGAGTGTTTGGAGAGGAAATTGGGGTTTTGACAAGGTTTTGAGCAGAGGAAAGAGAGTGGGCTGAGAAATGTTGAGCTCACCTCGAAGGTCCCGGCCAGGGCTCCTCTGTCCTCCCCACAGCCTCTCTGTTTACATGCACGAAGGGGCAGTGTGGGCGGGAAGCCAGAAGACAGGGAAGAGGACCCCAATGCACCAAATGGAATTCAGCTCGTGTAAAGCACAATGAGCAATGAGGGAGAGGGCGTTTGAATCCACAGTTCACATACCCAGCAATTATGTACCTCTGACCATGGAGGGCCCAATTCAACCCTGTGATTTTTCCATATTCTGAAGGAAAGCTTTCAAGATCCACACTTAACCATAAGTTCCTGTACAGATCATCTGCCTGAACCAGCAGCCTCATTTCTACACACTGTGACTTACTAACTTGAAGATCTAGCTTGAAGACGTGGCTTCCCTTGTTTATTTGAGAACTCTTTGCCAGCATTTGCCTTTAAATATTCTGTTTCTTCTTCCTAGACGCACTTCTAATCCCTTTTCCTGACTCACTTTTCAATTTCAGTTCACGTCCTGGCAAGCACAAGGTCCTGAGTTTGATCCCAGGTACCAAAAAAAAAAAAAAAAAAAAAAAAAAAAAAGAGAGAGAGAGCTCCTCAATTTCAGTTCACTGTTCTTTCTAGAAATCTTACCCAACTGCCCCTACCATTAGTGTACCTCTTACACTTTCTCAAAACACTCTGGCATTCTTTTTTTTTTTTTTTAATTTTAAAAATAAAAGGAGGAAAACATTAACAGACAGACAACCATTTACAAAATAGCAAAAGAACAGTACAGACAACACAGAGTTACAAACAAAGTGGTAGGAAATTAACAATGCTTAACACTGACCACAATAAAGTCTTTGTTCAATGCTATGCTTGCTTGGGAAAGAAAGTAGTGATAGGTAAAAAGTGGTGATGATAAAAATCTTATCTTCTCATGGGATGGATGGTACCAGAATTTCTCAGACGGCTAAAGTTTCTATTAAAAAAAAAATACGTATATAAGGTTGGTTGGTTGGAAGGAGGAAGAGACACTGTAGTTCTAGAGGAAGTAGAACTATGGCTATCAAAGAAACACAAATTGCTCTGTACTAGAAATGAGTAAGATTATTTATTAATATCAATTAAAAACCCCCAAACTGCCTACTAACAAATAGAATTTAGCAATACATTATATTACTAATGTTTGTCCCATGGATAAAAAAAGATTCCATGTTAGAAAATAGTTTCCTATAATTTAAAGTGTTATAAAGCAGGGAGCAACATAATCTGATCATCTCATTAGACAACAAAAGGTAATTGGTAAAACTTAACATCTAATAATTGGATACTGTTTTTCGTATAATAAAAATTTCCATCTCAACCTTAAAGTCTGTATCTTGTTTAGTAGGAAATACTGATGAATTGTTTTATATCATCTTATTAAAAATATGCACTCTGTAACTATACCGTCCAAGAGGCAACCACCAACCACATGTATTCAATATTTAATTATATGAACTAAAAGTAAAGAAATGTAAAGTTCCGCTTCTCCATCCCACCAGCCACACTGTACGTGCTCATTGCGACATGTAGCTGGTGGCTGTTAATCTGGACCATGGAGATGTTGAAGATTTCTATCATCACAGAATATTCTCTTATGCAGTACTGCTTTATAAATAAACCCCTCACAATAAACCACAGAACCATTGTCAAATATATCTCAGTATGACCTTAAGATGTTTATGGTCTATCATTTTGGCTTCAGCCATTTGCCAGAATTGCCTTGCACCCTGGAAATAAAATGCATGGTTGCAAACTTCGCAGAGTTCAGTAACACACACTCCTTCACTCAGCCATGGCCCTGTTCTTCCCCATTGCCTCCCAACTGCTTTCCTACGTTCATGGGAGACTTTAGTCACATCACTTGCTAGGTGGCAGAGGATGCAGGGGAAATGCTCCTTCTGTGTTCGTGGGCCAAGAAGCAACTTGAAGGCTCAAAAGATGAGGCAGAGAAATGTATCTGAGTGTCCAAACCTACGGTAGCAGCATACAAATAGGACCTACCCCTCCCACTGCCAGGAGCATTTCCAGCTGTTCCTCCTCACCTAGCTGTCAGCCCTCCCCAGACACGGGCTTCCTCTGAAAAGCAATGCCTTGAGGTCAGTGCCTTTGCCAGGAGAAGTAACTGGTCAGTGGGGATTATGAAGTCCAGGTCAGTCACCTTCATTCCCAGTGTTCACCCAAACTTTGCAATCCGCCATGAAGTCAGCATTTTGCTGTGACTTCCTCTCAATCTAACTTCTCTTTGCCTAATCCTGGGCTCTTCCCTTCCGTCTCAAGTGTTAACTCTGAGAAGATTCCCCAATAATCTCCTTCATCTCCGTTGTATCTCTGTGTCAACGGTCTGCATGCCTGGAACACACATGACCTACGTTAGCAAACATAATTTACGCTATTAACAAGTCAGAAGAAAAAATCATGGAATTTTTTCAATCCCAATTAAAAGACTTTTTTTTTTTTTTTTACAATTTACACCTCAGATACAAGCCTTTAATAAAATAGGACTAAACAAAGTATATCTACATTGATCATAAAATAAATCAGTACATTAATTGCCAATAGCCTATATTAGTATTAATGATATTAGCTTCCCTACAATTAAAATACAAAATGAAAACAACAGCTCACTTGGTTACCAAATTCTTGGTGTTAACCTCCTTCTAATTTAAACTGCAATTTTCCTGATGACTAAAGATATTAAGTTCCTTCACATGTTGTCTTTGACCATACTTATATGTTCCTTCTGAACTGTCTGTTCACTTTTTGTGCCCATTTTTCTTAGGTTATGTGAAAGATCCCATATCTGATCAATGCACTAAGCAGGTTTTAGTTAGCCTTGTACCCTTGCCACTATATGACTGGTTGTTTTGGTGACCTTATGATGCTCTTGAGAAAAGATACTGACCAGGTATCAACAGGTGATACCAGCCAGGAGGAACAGACAAGCCTCCTAACAAGACTATCTTAAGAGTAAATGTGTTCATCCTCGACGTATCTTCTGATCTTGGGTCCTTCGATACAGAGCCTTCTATTTCAGAGAATGTGAGACTTTACTTCTGGATTTTTCTGGTCAACTGTTACCCTGGGCTGGCACAGGCCACATGGATGTCCAGCCAGTGGACAGCTACTGAGGACAGTTATCAAGAGCAAGAGTCTTTCTGTGTCTATTTTATAGAGGGGGAAAAAAATCCTTAAAAAGCAAACTGCAAATGAGGATTAGCAGTACTCAATTCTAGGAATAAAGTCAGTTCTCAGGGGTCTACAAAGCCTTTCCCTTCCCAGGCTTTGCTATCACACAGCCTGCTAGAACACACACACACCTTGGACACAGCAGGCGGATTGTGTGGAAGCGTTGCAAACGCACGATGGGTAGAAATGATTCTGTCTCTTTAAGTTGCTGTCATGGACCCTCCCCGAGCTTCCTGAGCTCTGAGGCTCAGTGACTTCCTCTGCACGCTGGGGGAGAGAGCCTCCTGCACTCACAAAGGAAGGGAAAACAGGAGGTCAGGGTTTCTCAGAGCCACTTCAGAGCCTGTCACCAGGAAAGGTGAGCGGGAGCCTGGGATCTGGGAGCTGGGTGGGCGCCCCAAGACCAGAAAGGCTGTGGTTCCTGCAGAGGGGCAGCTGCAGGGCACCTGCATTCTACAAAGTGCCCTGTGGGTGGACAGGATGTGCGACAGTCAAGATCCTGCTTCTAAGATCTTACAGATGTCCCGTCCGAGTTTCAAATAGAGCAAGTTCAGAGGAAGTTTTAGGAGCATCTTCCCTGAGCACACATGTTCTCCACAAGGAGGAAGACCTTCCTCTTCTCACGCTGCCTAAATACAGTAGAGAAGTGTGTGCTGGGCACCACTTCCATCACTTTTAAACACCTAGTTTAAAAGACATTGAACATTCCCCAAGTCGCAGCTCCACAAAGGGGAGATATTTCTGTGTCCCCATAAGCGATCTAACCCTGGGGGGAAATTCCAGTGTGACAAGTGCAGGTACGGGCGAACTATCTCAGCTCCTCCTCCCCATGTGCAGGAGAGGGCCCTCAGGAGACACCTCAAGTGAGGAAGGGGTTCTCCCAGCCCTTTCCCTGAATGTCCCTTGAGCGTCTGCTCCCCAATTCAAGCTTCTCCAGTTCCACCTGCAGAGGCATCTCAATGGCCTCATCTGTATATTGGAGTTTGGAAAATAACTGATTGCCAAACTCAGAGCGTGGACAGACTGTCTCAGAAACATCCCAGCCTTTTTATCTGGGTCTCTGAAAATGGGCCCAAGAAATGTGAATTCTGACAGAACACTTATGTAATTACAAAACAAAGAGTTTGAAAGGCAAGGAGCTGGATGAACTTTGAGGTCTCTCTTCTTTTTTTTTTTTTTTCTTTTTGAGACAGGGTCTTGCTATGCAGTTCAGACTGGACTTGAGCTCACTTTGTAGCCCAGGCTGGTCTCGAACTCACAACGATCCTCCTGCCTCAGCTTCCCGAGTGCTGGGATTACAGGCATGCGCCAGCACTCCCAGCAAGGTCTCTTAAATTATCATCAACTAGAATTCTACCTGTTTTATACTTCTAAATTATTAAGAAATTCTTACCACCCCAGATTTCAGCAGGGCTTACTTTTCTCTTAAGAACTGTTTAAAATCAACACCCACTGCAAACTGTGGAAAGCGCTGAGCTCCCTCCAGTGCCTTCTGATTTCCACCTCCGACAGGATTTCACGCTTCAACAGCAATATTGCTGTTCCTGCTCTGAATCCTGTGACTGCTGCTTCGTTTCTGCTCTCGTATCAGTTAGAGGAGTCGGGGTGAACTTTACTGACAGCTTTGGGGAGGTGACTGGGGATTGACTGGGCAATAGAAACAGCTTTGGGTTCAACTAACTAGGTAAACTTGAACCCAAAGCCCCTTGGCTAGACACACGATTTTAGCCAATCTCTCTGCTTTTCTTCATGTGTGGAACCAGCGGGGGAGGATCATATCGCCTGCAGTAATCGGTATGGGGGACATAAGGAGGAAGAATTTGAAATGCTGGCAAAGTGCAGACAAGAACAAAGACAGAAATGTGGGAGAGGGTCAACAGTCACAGGAGAGAAAGTACAGAGTGGGTTGGAAAGACCCTGAGGTCTGCTTATGTGGAGTAGCTGGCTGTGTGGGGATTAGCTGGTGACGAGGCCAGAAAAGCACACTGAGGGGAGATGGTACATTTGTGCTCAAGAACTCCTCGGATCAGGCAAGTCGCAAGGGATTCAATTGTACTAAATTAATGTTAGACCTGGGCATCCCATCATTTAGAAAGGCTGCAGGGTTGGGAGCAAGAAAGCCAATGGTGGAAGGGAGTGCCCCAGTCCCTCCAGTACATAGATTCCAGAGAGGCAGGTTCGTGAAGCCCATTGCCCTGGCTTGAAGAGAGCAGAGGCAGAGACTTTCCAGATCAGCTTGGGGAATAGGTGTGTTCTCCAGTTTCCAAAAGAATGGTTATAATTTTTGCTTGTTTCCCAGGCCAAACACCCTAGAATGGGTCCCTAATTCACTGAATAAATTTTCCAGTTCTCAGACTTTACCCAAGGCTCTCCCAGCTTTTGAATCCCAAGGAAAAGTCTAATGTCTATAGTTCTGGCACTGACCTAGCATTACTGGGATGTTTTGGTTGTTGTTGTTGTTTTTTGAGACAAGGTCTCCCTATGTAGCCCAGGCTGGCCTTGAACTCACAGTAAGCCTCCTGCCTCAGCCTCCCAAGTGCTGGGATTACAAGCGTGTGCCACCACACCCAATTTACTGGGAAATTTTTAATCTAAATCTGGGAAATTTTAATCAAGAATGATGGGACATTGACTCCATTGTGTGGAGTCAATGTTATAACATTTTTGCATCTGAAGTCCCTGAAAAAAACAAATCCAAGCTCACAAAGTGTTCTCATGGTGTGATTACAACCCAAAGTCAGGATGTTGGCCAAGTCACACATTCAGAAAAGAAAAAGATATTTCTGTGGTGCCATACACAATCTAACCTTGGTATGAGTTACAGTGTGACAAGTCCCGATACATCTGAATGCTTTCATGTCCCCGGTGCTCCCCAACTCATCATGATGTTATTTTCAAGAACTCTTACATTATCCTTCAAGAAGAATTAGCACAATTTCCTATCCTTAACAACAGGAGCCTGCCTTTTGTCTAACCACCTGCTCTTCCCCTAAAACACACACTAGATGTTCAGACCCTTATGGGCAGGAGCCATAGCTGGTCACTCTGGTGAACCCCCAGCCCTTTGGACAGTGTAGACGTTATGATCATTGGAAGAATGAACACGTGAAAAAGAATAAATCATGTTTGGGACTCTTTCAGGAAAGATGGGAGGTCGGAAGATAGCAAAGGATGAAGAGAGCGCCTATGGTAAGAATCTATCTCTGCAATGCGTCCCCCCGCCCCAAGGGTAAGAAAAGCTCACTCAGAAGCGAACACGGAGAAACCCCAGGGCATCAAGGCTGGCAGGAAACAGCAGGAGCCTGGGACCTGCTTTTGTGAGATGTTCTTCTTTGACCCACCTGCCCTGCAGTTCCTCCAGGATACAGTGAGGGTAATAAACCTGCTCTGGTCTCCACAGGGAGGATGCAGAAGGTACCAAAAGAAGTATTTGAGTGCGCATCACTCACCAGGTACAGGGGATATCAAACGAGATGCTAGAGTGAGCATCGCTTGTAGGAAGGCTGCATCAGAAAACAAGGAAGGAAGGTTAACGGCGTCCTTCCTTAGGGAACAGGTTTAAGAGAGAGGGGAGGAGGAGAAGAAGGGAAGAAGGGAAGGAAGAAGGAAAGTGGTCTCACTCTGAAGAACCCCATGAAGATAACCAGACTTCGGCGCCCCAAGAAAAGTTGGTTTAATTGATGTATGCAGTGTGATCACAATATATGGCACATGCGTACATTTTAAAAACTCACTGTGGCAAATGACATTGCCATTAATCCTCCTGAAAATCCTCCCCCTTGCTTGGAATACATTTATTCCATCATTCCTGCTGCTTTCTGAAGCATCTCTAGAAGTGCTCTTTCCTGAGTGTCTATGAACTCCGTTGAAAACTACAGTGAACGCTGCTGTCAGGTGCCGTCCGACAGAAAGGCAGGCTCGTTGGTTAAAAACGTTGCCATGTGTCCTCATCTACCTTATTTGCTGGATCTGGCACCGTGTAACTTCAACCTCCTCCCCAAAGTCAAGATGACCTTGAAAAGTAGACGTTTTGGCTCTGTTCAGAACACCTGGGCAGCCACACAGTGCGACTAAAGACATTCAAGACAGAGGCTTCGGAAAGTGGCAAGAATGATGGGACGGCTGTGCCCTAAGTGAGGGAGGATTTTAAGGGAGATCCACGGCGCTGTCTTTTACTGTAATAAGTATTTTTAACTGAAACATTCACCATATTCGCTAACCACACTTGGTAAGATTGTAACATTTTGCACTCCCAGGTTCCAGTGACGACCTGGGGTCCCTGCAAGAGCCCCAGCTGAGGCTCATCCTGGTGGGCAGAACCGGCACCGGCAAGAGCGCCACGGGGAACAGCATCTTGGGCCACAGGCGCTTCCTCTCCAGGCTCGGAGCCACAGCCGTGACCAGGGCCTGTGCGGCCGCCAGCCGGAAGTGGGGCCGCTGGCACGTGGACATCGTCGACACCCCAGACATTTTCAGCTCGGAAGTCGACATGACAGACCCCGCGTGCCTGGAGCGAGCGCACTGCTACCTGCTGTCTGCCCCCGGGCCACACGCGCTGCTCCTGGTGACCCAGCTGGGTCGCTACACCGCCCAGGACCAGGAGGCGCTGAGGAAGGTGAAGGAGATGTTCGGGAAGGACGTGGTGGCGCAAACCATCGTCGTCTTCACCCGGAAGGGAGACCTGGCTGGCGGCTCTCTGCAGGATTACGTGCGCTACACGGACAACCAGGCCCTGCGGGAGATGGTGGCCGAGTGCGGAGGCCAAGTCTGCGCCTTGGACAACCGGGCCACCGGCGAGGAGCTGGAGGCCCAGGTGGAGGAGCTGCTGCGCACCGTAGAGGCCTTGGTGCGCAAGAATGAGGGCGCGCACTACACCAACCAGGTGTACGGCCTGGCGCGCGCGCTGCGCGGGGCGCACCCGAAGGAGCAGCTCCAAAGAGTGGCGGAGAAGCTGGCGGATCACTTGCACCGGCCTCACCGAGCCAGGCTGCTGGCCAGGCTCTGGGAGTGGCACAAGTCCCACTGGAGGCGGGGCGTGGCCGTCCTGCTGGGAGTCACCCTCCTGTTGTACTTGCTGTTCTACCGGCACGCACCCCCGGCCCTGGGTGACCTGAATGATTGATAGCACAGGTGTTAAACATCTCAATAATTTGGCCAGAAAAGGACCGAATATTTGAGTGTTGAAGGGGAAAATTAAAACTTCATTCCAAAAAGAATCCTGCAGTTTCACACTCAGAGCTTTGAAGGCATGGGAAACTTGGAACGTTGCATCTGCTTTGCCAAGGCTCAAAATTCACTTTCAAGTGTTTAAGTCTCGACTTTCAGTTATATGTTATTAAAATTAATTTGTCTAATTTTAAAACTTCCTGAAGACTTTTTCATAATCCTAGTGCATGTCTCCTCTCTTGAAAAACAGTGAAGTGACTGATAGCTTGGAGTGGGGACAAATTCATGACACAGAGGAAAAACCATTTTTATTTTGAACATCTTTTAAATTTAGATTGCCCCCCCGATTATTTTCTAGTCCTTGTATGTGGGAGTAATGTTCTTTCAATATCCTCATGGACGTTTATTATCAATGAAAGCAATGCCAGCACTATATACGATAATGTTTATTCCAACGCCTGTGTTTATTTGTAGGGTGATTTACTGCCAAACAGATAACTATATGCTGAAAAGAACACGGTTTGCAATTTTATGGCACCTATTGTAGCTTTCCTCTCTTTCTAAATTAAAGTAGAATGTTGGGGGAAACATTCCATGTGGTTATTTGGATTTTCATGCCATATGTTTTTGCATGCTTTTTGGCATATATACTGTGGAGACACAAATATAACTGTCACGTATTACATAAAGAGAGCTTCTGTCTAATAAAAAGAAGTCCTGATAATGGGAAGGAAGGTCAGATGTGCAGACTGCGGGCCGCAGAACCTTAATGCAGGTTGGTGCAGCTGTAACATTGGGTTCCAACACCGTATCAGTAGATAGTTGGAAGCTGAGTGGTTGTGCAAAGCAAACAATAGGGTTTCCTTATTTTGGATTATAATAAGACCCCTTTATGGGAAGTCACTGTCTTTAATCAACCAACCTCCAGCCAGCAGGTAGAGACAGGAAAGGAGGCAATTATGCCCAGTCAGCTGGAAGAGGAGGAAGGCAGCCGCATGCAGGAGTCCTAGGCATCACCTCCACCCCTGGTTAGGAAGGAGGGATGTAGCACATGTACAGAAATGTCATGCCCAACTAAGGGCCTCTGGAGTTTTGAGGTGGGTCACAGGCTTGGATGAGCTGCGGCCAAGTGGCTTGAGGCCCAGAAAGGCCACTAGAGTGAGTTGAGCACTATAATGTATAGCTGGAGCAAAATCCATTCTTAATCCCATCCTTTAGCTTCCCAGGAGCTTTGCTGCATCAACCCAGTGGATCAGGCTACTGAGCTGACTTCTGAGGATCTGAGCAGGCATCAGCATCAGGCTAGGGGGTGGGGAGGGCAGCAGCGTGGGAGGGTCCCTGCTCCAAGTTCATGCTGCCCTGGGCCAAGGGCCACTTGCCAGCTGGGCTAATGTTGATTTGCTCTTCCACTTTTTCCAGTGTCTCACGCATAGGACCACGAAGGCTCTCTAATGTTTGTCATTGTAATTTCTGTCTTGTTATAAACATAAATGTGATTTTTAAAATAAATACTATCATTTTAAAATTCTTTGTAGACCTTAACGTGTGAAATATACTGGGATCAAAGGAAGGCTTGACATTTGTGGGTACAATGACCAAGTTGAGGCATCACCCCACACGGTAGGAACAGTGAAAGGCACATGCCCTGAGGTACTCTGAGACCTGAGACTAAGGTTTTCACTGAAATGTACATACTAATATGAATCTTTATAGTTTACATACGTGGTGAAACGATGTGAATGAAAGCTCTTGTAGGTTAAATTCTGTGATACAATATGATAGTAAAACATATAAGACATAATTTTTGTAATAAACAGATGTGTGTGTGTGTGTGTGTGTGTGTGTGTGTAGGGAGCTGGGGGTCTAGTAATAACATAAGGTCAGTGTCTTAGTCATTTTCATTGTTACTGGGACAAAATACCCGACACCCACAAATTAAACAAGGAAAGGTTTATTTTGGTTCACATTTTAGAAGTTTCAGTCCATGTTTGGCAAGCTAAAACACAGAAACCAGACGATGGCCCCACCCCAATGGTATAGCTGATTGCGATTCTCATGGCCTCTCTTTTAGGGTGGCTTTGCTCTCTGTATGCTGCTTTCCTCAGCTGACATTCCAACTTCCTAGCATCTCTAACTTCTTGAGTTCTCTACTGCACCTTTGGCTTCACTCTCACAGCTTCACACATTGCCTTCTCAGGTGCACACCACCTAGCTTCCCAAGACTTCTTCTGAACTCTGGGTAAAGGCTCCCTCACCTGACAGCTCTTGCATTTTGCATGTCTATAAAATTAGGATGATTGGGATGACTTCAAAGTCTGCTGCCAGCTCCAGCAGAAGTTGGGCCCCCTAGGATTATGGTGGCAGAGGATTCTAAGTGCCTGGATGGTCAAGCTCCAGGAAACTTCCCAGTTGGCCCATAATGAACTGGGTTCCCTAGCACTATCTTCTCAAAGAGTCTTTCACTTTTGTAGGATGATTGATGGGAATTCGCTGTTCCCCTCAAGGCACACTTCCTACTGCCCTGATGCAACTACCTGGCTTCTTCTTAATGCTCATCTTTTCAGCAACCAGACTATTCTGGGCCAAAATTTCACAAGCCCCAATTTTACAGGACTGTCAATTATAGTGAAACTGAAAACATTTAAAATCACTCAGCTGTGCTGTTTGCTCTTGATTCTCAACAAAGAACTGGCTAAAATCCTACTGTTGTACCTGTGCCACAGTCTGGAAGTGGATTGCCTTGAACTTTCCTCTGCCAGATTAATTACTCCATCACCTTTAATATTAGTCTCACACAAAGTCTCAGGACATGAGCAAAATGTTGAAAATTTTTCTGCCAGCACGTAGCATTCATGGTCTCAAGTCCAACTGCCAACTGAGTCTTTTGTTCCCAGCTGACACCTCTTAAGGCTAGCCTTTACTTTTTCCATTTTTATTAGCATTCTGACCTTTTGTGCTCTGACCAGAATCTCTCCTCAAGCTCTGGTTATAGCATTTTAGGGCTTTTCAAGCCAGCAACTCTAAACCTTTCCAAACTTCTCCAATGAAGCAGTTCCAAAGATTTCTAACCCACATGGCCAGGTATATTCATAGCCCCAACCCTACTCCTGATTCCAAAATCTGTCTTAGTCACTTTTCTCCTTATTGGGATAAAATACTCAATATCTGCAACTTAAAGGACAGGTTTATTCTGGCTCACATTTGAGAAGTTCCACTCTCTGTTTGGCAGGCCCAAACATAGAAAGCCCATGATGAAAGGGTCTAGGCAGAGGAAACCTGCTCATGTCATAGCAGCCAGGAAGCAGAGGGGACAGAACAGGGGGAGCCAGGGAGGAATAAATACTCTTCCAGGTGACAACCCCAGTGACTCACTTCTACCCAGGCCCTAGCTTCTAACAGGAAATCATCGGTAGCAATCCCTAGTTCAATCACCTTCCAAAAGCCTGCCTCTGAGTGCATGAGGCTCTTAGGGACATTCTTGATCAAAACCATAATAGTAAGAATGTGATTGTCAAGTATATTTACAAAGTGCAACCAAAAATACATTTTCTCTAAAATATTGCTAATTTCTAATCCTTAGGTTTAAAAAAATACAAAGCAATAAATACATGTGGAAGGTCCTTAACTTTATCTTTTAAAATATAATTTAATGTTTTATGTATGTGTATATATATATATATATATATAACATATATATGATAAAACAGCTAGGAATAAGAAACAAAAGCTGTAGAAATAATGCTATAAAATGATAATAATAAGAGCTTCATACCTTATAGTGAAAACAAGTAATGAGGTTTGATTTTTAACTTCTTCAGTGTTCAAATACCTTTGACTAAATTCTCCATGAATTTTAATTTGGAAAGACAGAAATTTGGGCCTCAAAGATGAAGTTCTACTGTGAAGAAATATCTTTATAAAATAAAATTGAGAGTCTCCAAATAACCAAAAGCTGTGAAACTGAGTTTGTAATAATTTTTCTGAAGAATTCATAACATAAAAATAAGCATAATAGTTTTCTGTTTAGATTACTGAGTAGTCCAAAATCTCACGGTAATAGTTTGACAATTGACTAATCATAGGTTTCAGACAACTGCTGTGATAGGAGTCTAACTTAATTTGGGTAGGAGCCTAGCTACAACTTGGAATTTGCTGATCTTCTAGGGTAATCAAGACAAAGGTAGATCAGAATCCGCCCAAACTGGAGAATCTCTTCCTCATCTTACTTTTAGAAGGGGTTCCAAAGTATTCAACTGTCAAATGTCAGTCATCCATCCTGTATGTATGAGTACCTTACACTTCATTAAAGAAAGTCTGTAATTGTCAATTCTTTTTTTGACCCTTTAAGATAAAAGTCTTTTAAAGAGCTTTTTGCCATTTGACAACACCCACTTAAGCTTTCTCAGGTACCTGGAGACACCACCTTGAAATGCAAATCAAGGATGGTGGTACCCTGGTATCCCCCAGTACCAAAAGTAGGAGTCTAAGAACTTAATTTGGACAGGAGCTTAACTTTTACACTCCCAAGTTGCAAAACTTTCTCTTGCCATAAGAATATGAGGTTTATTTTCCTCAGGACAAAGGCAGTTAGCTAACACAGATTGTTACAAGGTGAATTTAAGATGAACTTGCACTGACCCAGCTATTTCCCTTCTAGATATCTTCCTGAAAAAGTTAAAGACATCATGTTACAGTGATACATGCAATACTCATGTTTACAGCTGCACAATTCATAATGGCTAAATCTTGGAAGCAGCCTATATGTCCGTCAACAGATGAATGGATAAAGGAAATATGCTCTGTGTGCACAATGGAATATTACACTGCCACAAAGAAGGATAATAAACTTGAGTCATTGGTAGGAAAATGGGTACACCTTGAGACCATAATGTTAAGTGAAATAAATCAGAGAAAGCTAAGTATCACACGGTTTCTTTTATATGAGAAACCCGAATTATAAATAAAGAGCAAAAAACAAGAGACAGATAATAGGAAACAGGGAGATAGATTTTTCTCTGGTGGAAAGGAGACCGACCAAGAGATGAAAGAGGGGGCGGGAAGGGGATGGGCAAAGGAATTAAGATGCGCTAGTGCACGCACCAGCTCAACACAAGGAAAGTGCACATGCAAGTGTAAGATGAACGGTGCCATACTGTCCTCTCACTGGGGCCCAGCTATGGCTTGCGACACCCTTGGAGGGGCTGTATCCCCCTGGCTGTGTAACTGGATGACTTTCCACTCCTCTCTGCAGTGTCTTAGCGGTCGTGTGTCTCTCATTCTGGTTTAATGCTTATTCAACAGTCCAACCGCCGTCGGTGTCTCCTACTTGGAAGGCTTTCTAAATTGGCAGCAAACTGTTTTGTGTCCCTGTCAAATCCGAGATGACGGTCAGGACGGGACACTAACCCTAAGTCCAAACGCGAACAGAAAGGAACGCGATCTCTGGACCCAAGCTCCACCTTAGTGCACATGAAAATTTCAGAATCGCTTTGGCAGATATTTCCTTTGTGTTCCCTGCTCAAGTCTTAAAGCTGCGACTCGAAAGGCGAAGCGCTCTCCTCGTTCCCCAGTCCCACCCCCAGTTAAACCCACAGCCCTCACCGCGCCGCGCAGCCTCCTCCTCCAAACGCACCCACAGGTGGGTCGCAGAGAAAGGGGAGGATCGCGGCGGAAGCGCCGGCTGCGCAGGAGGCGGCGGCGCCGCCTGGGTTCGGTGAGATCCTCGGGGTGCAGCCACCGTCTGCGGGCGCCAGGCGGGCGAGCGGCCCCCACCGGCTTCTTCCCTTCCTGGCGCCGCCGAGTCGCAGCAGGTGGCCGTGCCACGGGACCGCGAACCAGGCCGAGCCCAACGCGCCCGGGTAAGGAAGTTCGCGCCTCGCGCCGCGCGGGTCTGGAGAAGCGCGGTGTAGACGCTGTCGCTCAGGTCCCGCTCGGGTCGGGTCGGGTCGGGTCGGGGTCGGTGAAACAGTGCGACAGCGGGCACTCAGGTGGCCAAAATGCGACTGCTAAAGTTTACAAATGTATGAGAGCCAAGGACAGGTTGCCACGAGTCCCCCGGAAAATATTCCTCCTGCTTGGAACACACTTATTCCAAGGCCTTTCTGAAGCAGTTTGGGAAGTGCTGTTTCCTGAATGCCTTCATGAGACGTGATTAAAAAAAATTTTAAAAGAACAAACATGGTGACTTCTGCAGCCAAGTGCCACCCAATGCAGAGGCAGGCGGGTGAAAACATGACCGTGTGTGCCCGTCCACCTTCTTCACCAGATCTGGCGCTGTGTGACTTCTGGCTCTTTCCCAGAGTGACCATGAGAGGGAAACATTTTGAATCCACTGAGGACGCTGAGGCAGCCACACGGCACAAGTGAAGACACACACGAGAGCGTGAACTGCTCCAGAACTGCGTTAGAAAGTGGTGAGAACAATGGGATAAGCGTGTTTGGAAAAGAAGGAGCATTTTGAAGGGATTAATGGCAATCTGTCTTTTACTGTAATAATTTTTTTTTTTTTTTTTTTGTCTGAGACAGGGTCTCGCTATGCAGTTCAGACTGGCCTTGAGCTCACTTTGTAGCTCAGGCTGGTCTCAAACTCCCAATGATCCTCCTGCCTCAGCCTCCCAAATGCTGGGATTACAGGCGTGCACCACCTTGCCCGGCTGTAATACTTTTTAAAATTTTAACATTCTCTGTATTTTTCTATCACACCTCATGCAGCGGGGGTTGGGGCATCACAGCCCTAAAATCCATTCGCCTTCATCAGAGGACTTGCTTGTCCCCATGCTTGGGCTTTCGCCCTGAGAGATGTCAGCCTGCTGCGTCTTCATGGGTCTCAGGAATAAAGCCGACCTAACCTCTCATTCCCACTGAAAACAGTGGAGCTGCAGGGAGCCTGGAGTTTCTCCAGCTCCCCCAGGTTGTGGGGACGTCTTCTCAAGGCCACCCTCCTGCATTCTCACAGCCTACCCCAGCCTGCCGGCCGCTCCTCCCAGGGGCACACGACAGGATTTGGGGGCTCCACAGGGCAACGAGGACTCTCAGCTTTCCCACCGCCAGGAGCCTGGGGTGCCACACAAGTCCTTCCAAAGAACTTTGTCTTTTTCTGAAATCCACACATTCTCCTCCAAATCCCTTCACCTTTACTAACACACGCTGTCCAAGATGCTTCTCTCGAACAGCAGCCTCCTGTTTAAGACAAGTGTGAGCAACCCCTGTGTCAGATAATTTTGGAGGGATTAGGATGGAATCACGGGGAATAACCTGGAGACTCCAATTTCCAAAATACAGGGAGTCGGCAGGGCAGTTCGGTGGAGGGGATAGTTAGGAAAAAGAAAGATAGTAGATATGCTTTTCCTTCCTGCAATAGCATAGGGGAGTCTGCTTTCTTGTTATTTGATAAATAAGGTTATCATCATGATAAAATCAGGCTTATACAGTTTTCAAATCAATGTCCATTTTGAAAATTTAGTATATATTTGTGACATGTAGTAGACACAGTCTTCGTGGGGAATCAGTACATATATGTGTCCCGTCTCAGTCCTTTTTACTTCCCCTTTCTCTCTCCCCCATCCCCAGTATCCTTTCCCACCTCCACAGGGCTCACCCCCCTGTTTCCCTTCCTCTATCTTTTATTTTGCTCTTTAAATTATTATGCTTTGGGGTGAAGGAAAGGGAGACGAGAGGGACCCACAAGGAACAAAGATGTGTTATGTCCGTGTACCAACTCCCCATGATGAATGTAGTCATTACGTACTGTGGAGATGGACTCATAAATGCAAACATTTTTAAAGTAAGTCATTTATACTCTGGGCGTCCCACGTAAGAGAACCACACAGTATTTAACCTTCTGCATCAGCATGTACATCATGCTCGTTCGCTTTGACCTCCTTCCAAAGGTAGACGCTGCTGATGCCCATCTTGCAGGCGCTTTGTCTGCCAATGTCCCGTGACCTCTGGTCCCATGTTGGGGGGACTGAGTAGAATTTTTTCTTTGGAGAAGGAATCTACCTCCATTCTCATTCCATGCCCGCAACCTGTATCTACTCTGCTGTCACATTCCTCTAGGTCCCTAATGTGTTCCCCAGTCTTTGCCTAAACTTTATTCGGTCCTTTTCATGCCTGACTTTAGCGTCTCCTTCCGGAACCTTCCAGACTCACCTCTGGATGCTTTGTTAACATCTGCCAAAGAAGCTCTTCCTTGTGGGACATGTGTCTTCTCCCCTGGCACACTGATCTGCTCAGTTGGTTCAGGGACTGTTTCTGCTGCACTTTGACTCGTGTAACTGAGTTTGGTTGCCTTGTGTGACAGCCACATTGCACAATCGGGTCACACTGAGAGCCAGGTCAAGTAAAAAGGCGAGATTGTTGCAAACTGAAATAATTCAATTCAGAACAATTCCCACCCATTGCAATTTTATCCTTGATAATCTTATTTACTTTCATTAAGTAATTGGAAAACCCACACTCAAAGTCCTGCAGTACCATTCTCTGTGCTGGTTTTACAGCAGGCTTCCACCTGAGGGTGTCCTGACTGGCAGTGTTGTATGCAGGGGACAAGAGACTCATTGACTTCTTTCTCTTCCTTCTCTTCTTTCTTTCTTTCTTTCTTTATTTCTTTCTTTCTGTCTGTCTTTCTTTCTTTCTTGGTATTGGGAATCAAACTCAGGACCTTGTGCTTGCCAGGCAGGCACTGTGCCACTGAGCTACATTCCCAGCTCTCACTGACTTCTTTAGAATCATCTCTTTTTCCCATTGTGAAATCAAGGAGATTTTACATGCAAAGGAAGTTGTTTTAGGAATTCAACTCACAGCAAGTGTGTGACTTTGCCCAGGTTATTTATTTATTTTTTTTTTTTCAGTGCGGGGGATCGAACTCATGACCTTACACTTGCCAGGCAGGGGCTTATGCCACTGAGCTATATCCCCGGCCCTGCCCAGGTTATTTGAAGCTGTTTCAAAAGACTTTAATAGAACTTTTAATACCAACCTTAATCACACCACAGGGAATTCAGAACCATTAAAACAGCAGATATGAAAAAGTGTGGAAATCATAGGTGGCTGCACAGAGGATCATCACAATGATGCAGTTTATCAGTGTCGTTGCCACCATTGTCATCATTTTTATTATATCACTACATCAATTCTAGTGTCAGAAAATGTCCTCTAAAGTGGAAAAAGTGCCATAGACTTTGGGCAGATTCGGCAAAGACCAAACAGTGTCGGGGAGACAGTGATGAGGAGATGTGTGAGTGTAAGAAGGCAAGGAGGGAGGAAAAGGAGGAAAGGAAGGCAGGGGACAGGAGAGGGGAAGGGAGAGAGCTGTCTTCATGTATTCTGACACTGTGAAAATGGATGGTTTTCTCTTAAGAACACCAAGAAAATCCATTGAATGAATAGAAAAAATGTGCAAAAGATAAATAACAGAGGCAACCTAAATAGCAAATAAGCTATGAAAATTGTTGTGTTTTTTTTAAATTCAGTGGTATTTGGTCAATTAAGGTTTAAACCAATGAAGACTTCTGTATTTCTGTCCCTAAGGCTGACAATAATTGACTGTAATATATCCCCCGAGTGCCCGTGAAGGGGAATTCTCGTGTGATTGTGCAAGCAGGTCAGTGGTGGTGAACCTATGGCACCTGTGCCGCAGGGGATATTTGTATCACTGAAAGCTCTGAAAGGTTCGCCGTCACTGAAATAGATGCTATCCACCTGGAGTCAGAGCTGGCCACATCCAGCGAGGTAGAGAATGTACGTTCCAGATAAATTGTCACTGTGTACGTTTGGAGTTATCTTGCAGCGTCTTTTGTAGTAGCTGGCAAATCTTCCAGAAAAGCCTAAATATTTACTAATAGAGAATTGGATAAAATGTTACGTAAATAATGGCATTTGTGTAACAATTTGAAGTACAAAAACAGTTCTGTGAACTACTTACAGATGCATAGAGTGTAGAGGTGTAAATGTACAAGTGTGACTGACACATATAAACCTCAGCGAGCTCGCTGTAGCCCTCTTGCCTAGCAGGTGTGCAATCCTGGAGTTTTGATTCCCAGGAGTGAAAAAAAAAAACCTCTCAGAATGTTAGTTACCTCTAAAAGGCAAGAAGGAGGAGAGTGAGACTGGGGATTGGAAAAAAAGAAAGTGAGCTACATCTGTAATGTTTTAATCTCTCAGTTAAACAGAATAGCTCCAGTAAAATGCCAAAATGCTTAAATGTGTTCGCTGCAGATGCTGAGACTGTTTTACTATTCTGTGTATTTCTGCTCTTAAAAGGTATGCTTTATAACTACAACATCTTTAAAACTGAATAAAGAAAACACAGGCAGGGGTTCATCTTCATGACAGTCCTACAACACGCTCACCCTGTCTATGCTTGCCTTTTTCTAAGACACAAAGAATGACACAAAGCGGTGCCACATTTGAGTGAAACGTTTCTGCCCATGCTTCTGGCCGGTTCCAGACAAATCCCCTGAGATACAAAGACAGTAATGACAGAGAGACCAGAACCTCGGATCTAACCAGGAAAGGTGTTGGTTCACAACTGAGTGACAAAGGAGTTTGTCTTGAGTTTGGCTTGAATGTTGCTTCTTCCTCTTTAGTCCTCAAACACCGTCTCTCCACCAGCTCCTGGGGATGGAAGGTGCCGTGCTCAGCTCCCTTCCACTCTCGTCATTGCCTTTCAGTTTGAGGGGCAGTCATCAACTGATCTGTTTCAAAACATGTCCTTCTTTGCCGCAAGCTGAAACCCAAAGCAGAGGGGCATCTCCTTAGCACTTGCCAGTCCACCTCATTTGTGCATTCACTTACAGATGCCTGAGAGTGAGATCCGGGTTAGAAAATTAGCAGTGGAAAAGGCTTGTCCAAGGATAATCATTCCAGGTGTCTGAATCGAGAGGCCCTACCAGTTCCCGTATGGGCACCGCTTTTTACTCCTTTCCTGTTTGTGTTCCAGAAGAGAATGGAGGGGCTGCAGAAGTGCACGTACGGAGCCATGGCTGCCGGTAAGAAAGATCTTATCTCAGCTCTCAAGGGCACCAGCCTTGGGCAGAGCCTCTGTCCTTTCCCTACCTGTGCCCACATCAAACACAGGAGCAGAAATCCAGCTATTTTAGGCTGAAGAAGGAAAGGCCAACTGGCATTTTCCCTACCTCCCCAACCCTCTTGCGCCCAACCCCCTAACGTTGTCACTCACCTCTTTGTGCGATGCTCTCCCTGTACACACCTGGAGAACGTGGAAAGGGAGCTCAGATCAGAGGCAGAGGGCCTGGATTCTGAACACAACCTCTCTTTCCTTGTCTCCTCTAAGCTGAAAAAAAGAAAAGTTATCCAGAGAGACATCCCAAAAATATTTAAGGAAAGAACTGACACAGAGTAGAAGGAATAAAATAATAGATTTTTAGGAGCCTAGAATATACTTAGAATTCAGGTGGCTTCCTAAGTAATCTAGAAAACCCCAGGTTCTCCTGCATTCTGTGTGGAAGATTTTAGCCCTAGGCTTGGTGTTTTCTCCTCCAACACCACTCTTGTTACATTTCCTGTGCTTTTATCTAACAAACAAATGATCTTTCCCGCACACATCCTTCTACTGGTCTTATCCTCCCCTCCTCTTCAGACACCAACAGAACCTTGTCTCAACATTAACTGTGACACTCCCTTGTCTCAGCTTTAAGCACCACTCACCCCAGAAAGCAAAGACCCACAATGTTCGGCTGGTCCTTGGCGGGGGTCACCACCCTCTGCCCTGCGGATTGGCATGCCTGTGTCTACACAGAGTGCTGGGAACTTGTGGGTGAAAGAGAGACGGTCAACTTTCTCATTCCCTCATCTCACAACCTGCCTTCTAATTTCTCCTTTAGTTAGCAACAAGTCCCTGTGGGGCTGCCCTAAATACCACCAAGGCAAGGCACAGTGACTAGTTTTCTTGCAGAAAGAAAATATATTGGCCATGATCCAGATGAGGTACACAGAGAATCTCTTTAGTATGGCAGTTCTGGCCTCTTGGGTATGGGTCCAAACGTGGGCTCCTCAGTGAGGGGTCCCTTGCAATCCCAGAGCCATCTGAAGCCCCATGCAGACACTGGGATGCACTGAAATATGCTTACCTTTCTGGAAAGGACATGCACAGCTTTATAAGATACCCATGGAAATCTGTGACCTGGAAGTCTAAAGTCTCACTCATTTAGCAAGGCACCAAAACTTCTTTTTTTATAGGTGGACTGGAAGATAACAAGTTTGCAGTACATTCCCCATTGAGGATCATCCTGGTGGGCAAGACAGGCAGCGGGAAGAGTGCCACGGGCAACAGCATCCTCTGCCGCCCAGCCTTTGAGTCCAGGCTGGGGGCCCAGTCGGTGACCAGCAAGTGCCAGGAGGAGACGGGCACGTGGGCGGGGAGGACCGTCCTGGTGGTCGATACGCCCCCCATCTTTGAGGCAAGGGCCTGGACTCAAGAGACATACAGGGACATCGGAGACTGCTACTTGCAGTCGGCCCCAGGGCCCCACGTGCTGCTCCTGGTGACCCAGCTGGGGCGCTTCACTGCCCAGGACACAATGGCAGTGAGGAGGGTGAAGGAGGTCTTCGGGGCGGAAACCGTGAGGCACATGGTCATCTTGTTCACCCACAAGGAAGACTTGGGGAGCGAGTCCCTGGATGAGTATGTGGCGAACACGGACAACCACGGCCTGCAGGTCCTGGTGCGGGAGTGCGGGAAGAGGTATTGTGCCTTCAACAACCGGGCAGCCGGCCAGGAGCAGCGTGACCAGCTGGCGGAGCTCAGGGCTGTGCTGGACAGGCTGGAGCGTGAGCTGGAAGGCTCCTTCCTCAGCAATGACCTCTTCCTTCAGGCCCACGTGCTGCGCCAGGGCCACAATGCTGCCCGCCGGGAAGGTCACCGGCGCTACCTGGCCCAGGTGAGGCAGCAAGTGGAGAAGCAGAGGCGAGAGCTGAAAGAGGTGGAGAGCAATGGCTTGTGCAGGGCGCTCCTCAGAGCCCAAAACTGGATAGGATCTCATGTTGTAGCATCTGCCTGTCTTATTATATGTGGTTTGGTTTTTCTTGCACTTTTAATTAACTTTAGTATTCTTCAGGGGAAATGAGCATTTTCTGGTGGTTTCTACAATCCGATGTTTCTTCTAGGTTCTCTATCTTGCTCTGTGTGTGTGTGGTGCTTTACATTTTAGGCAGTTTCGCTCTAAGTTTTGCTTTCTTACATGAGACGTGTTATTTATTTTCTTGAAAGTGCTTTTAGGTAAATAACTCAAAGGAAAATTGTTCTGTTCTTGTTTAGTTAAAAATTATGATAAAGAGAATGTGATATCTGTACACAATGGGGTACTCTTGTGCTCTAAAGAGGGACGGACTTGAGTCACTTGCTGAAAATGGATGGACCTTACGACCATAATGTTACATGAAGCAAATGAGACACACAAGCCTAAACATCCCCTGGTTTCTCTTATGTGAGAAATCCAAAGTGTAAATAAATCAAAAAGCAAACTAAGAGATAGATACATTGGTACCTGGGTTTATGAATGCTTTTATTTCCAAACAATTTGGTTCACAAACAGAAACACTTTTGGGAAAACTTTGTTTTTATTTGCAAACTCTGCATCGGGTGACATCTTTCCCATAATAACACAAACATGGCCATCTTTTCCAAAATTGTGAAACAAATTAAGTTTATCCACTGAGGTACCACTGTAATAGAAAGTTGGGAGATAGATCTTTTGCAAGGGGGAAGGGTACCAAGAGATGGAGGTAGGGGATGGACGAAGATGTAAAAAGCGTGAAGATGTGCTATCTGCACTGCCAGTTCCCCATGAGGAATGTAATCATTATGTACTGTTAAACATGGGCTACAATCAATCAATCAGTCAGTCAGTGGTGAGGGTAAATAGTAAACTAGCTGGATACTGAGCATCATGAAGTCTCTGGGGGCTTGCAGGAAGGAAGGCTAGAGGACTGTGTAGTCCTGAGCCCCCGCTTTCTATTGATGTGATGTTGGAAAGAGAAACATACTCTCTGCAAAGCTGGTAGTGGAAGTTCTTATTTTATTCCTTAACCTTCCCAGATGTCATCATGGGCTGTAAATGATGGTGTCCCCTCAGCCCTCAGTTCCCTCGAGACGAAGAAGGGGTGGCCTGATGAGCAAACCAGGGACTGGGGGTGAGGAAGAGGATGGGAGCAGGGTCCTGGGCATGAGGGACAGCAGGGCAAAAGGTCACAGCAGCCTTGCCACATGGAAAGCAGGCTCAGCAGCCAGGAAATATGGAGCAAGGAATCCTAAAGTGGGCAAAAAGGACCACAAAGCAGGCAGGGATCCTGGCTCAGGGGACTACTTGGTGGACATCACAGCCACTAACCTGGATGTGTAGGCAAAAGCCACCATGAACAAGAAGCTGTGTCCCTAAAACTTGCAGAACACTGAATCCGGAACTTCATGTCCCATTCGTGTGTGAAAGTGAAACAGGGCTCTTTTTCCAATTTCTTAAACATTTAAAAATGTAGATGTCCTAGATGTCCTATATGTCCGTCAGCAGATGAATGAGTAAAGAAAATGTGATATTTACACACCATGGAGTACCACTCTGCCATAGAGAAGGGTGAACTTGAGTCTTTTGTAGGAAAATGGGTGCACCTTGAGACCATAATGTTCAGTGAGATAAATCAGACACACTGGTTCTGGTGTCACATGGTTCCTCTCACATGAGAAACCCACAACATAAATAAGAGCAAAAGGAAACCTAGACATAGGAAACAGGGAGCTAGAGCTTCCTCAAAGGGAAGATAAACAAAGATGGAGAGAGGGGAACGGAAGGGGATGTAAAAAGAATGAAGAGGTGGAGTGTCCATGTGCCAGCTCCCCAGGAGGAAGGTAATCATTATGTGCTACCAACATGGGCTAATAAATTAAAAAGTATAAAATGTGCCAGCCCTCCCTAACTCGCAGCTCTGCGAAAAGGCCGTGGGCCAGGTCTGGGGCTGTCTTTCTTAAATTCCGCATTGTTGCCCGGGATGCACTGGAATGTGACATCTTTAACCGGGAACTCAGTGCAATCTTGGACGATCCCGTGTCTGTGGGAATTCGGGGGAACAGTGGCGCTCCACACTCCTGCGGTAGTAAAAAGAAGGCCGGCCAGCTCTGGGGTGAAACACAAGCACAGCTCGGGCCTCTCTTTTTGGTAGCCGCCGCCTCCTCTGCTTCTTTGTACTGCATGCAGCGCAGCGCCCATCCCATGCCTGTGCGGGGAGTGTTCTGCTCCTTGGGGCCTGGGAACCCGGAGGGACTCTGAGTACTCAGACTTAGGACCACAACTCGATGCAGGCTCCAGACTGCTCCCACCTGACTCGGTCTGTCTCCTCCTTGACCAGCTTCCATTCAGCTTCACAGACATTTATCACATGCACTGTGAGTGCCAAGGTCTCTGCTTGGTGCAAAGAAGGTGAGATAGATAACACGGGATTGTGCTCCACGGCAAGCAAGGTGGGTGCAGGGAGAAAGCAGATTGAAATACAGTACATAAGGGGCTGGGGATTTAGCTCAGAGGCACAGCGCCTGCCTGGCAAGCGCAAGGTCGTGAGTTCGGTTCCCGGTACCGGAAAAAAAACAAAAACAAAAAAACAAAACAAATACGGTACGTAAGAGCCAGGACAGGGGTCACTTTCAGAGGAAAGGATGCACATTGGTCACCAGGACCTGGTTGTTCCACAGGCAGTGGGCATGGGGGGCAGGACAGACCTGAAGGTGCTAAGAGGGGGATCTGTGCAAGGTGAGCACTGATGGCAGCAACAGGGCGGGAACCTGGGTGGCCCTCTAAGAAGCAGCTGCCTTCACAGCAGGGAGAAACAGAGGGTTGAACAGAGCAAAGTTCCGTCTTTGGCTCTAGCTATGTCACCATGAAGTCCCCAGATTCCTGTCCAGCGGGCAATGAGGGGTCTTATCCCCCCCCCATCTAGGGAAATCTTTCTGACCAGCCACAAGTTGGCCCCAAATAGGTACCAGGGAATAGACAGCAGGGGAATGCCTCCTTCCAGGGATGTGGGTGGCTTGCTCCAGCCTTCTGGTCCAGATGCAGTTCACCAACAGGAAACTCTTCACCCAAAACACTGTTGCCAATATCCATGGACACCCCTCTTGCCAACTTCCAGAGGAACAGAGCCGGGCCATTTTGCAGCAGGGCAGGAGCCAAGACACTCTTAGAGCTTCCTCCACCAGAGCACTGGGCAAAGGGATTCCTTGGAGTGTGCAGACCTGAGCTCACTTTTTTAGGCTCCTGCTAACTGATGCATGAAGCCAGGAAAAGCCCACCGGATGCCATCACACTCCCTCCATCCCTTCCCACTCCTGGAACAAGAATAATTCTCCTTATTCATGTTCAGTGAATGTCTAGTGCAGTAAACACCCAGTTAGAGAAAGGGATTCTTCCTCATGCCAGGAACAAGAAAAGACAAACCTGCTCCCTCCCTCTGCACTACTTCCTCAAAGGAAGCAAGAAAACGGAGAAGTTCTGATGGATTTAAAGGGTAAAAAAGGGAATGTGAAAAACTCTTCATTAGTTCACATGCTTTTAGGTACAGGTGAGAGACCCCAAAACTCATGTAGCTTACAATGTTGGGAAATTTATTGGCTCACATAATTGAAAATGCAGAGATAGAGTAGGGCTGGGTGATTCCCAGGCTTGTTTTTGTTGCATCTTCCTGTTCTGCTCTGAAGTTTTGTTTCTACCTCAGGTTGATAGCAAAACAGCTGCTGAAGTTCCAGGCACCACACCCAGACCCACCAAGTTTGGAGTTCAGGGCAGAGGTCACTGGAAATCTATGCAAAAGAAAGGGAACTCTCGAGTGCTGTCCAGACAAGCGGTGTCTGCAGACCACGAAGTGATTTCTAAATCAGTGACACTCAGGGCAGTGCATAGGCGAGGTGACACTGTAGAAAATGCTCTAAGATACAAAGCTTCACACATGAAAATATATGATCAGAAAAATCAGGAGAATAAATAAGCTGCACCAAATACAAACAGCACAGATCTCCTTGTGTAAAATCACCCAGTTTTGGGCTCTGAGGAGCGCCCTGCACACGCCATTGCTCTCCACCTCTTTCAGCTCTCGCCTCTGCTTCTCCACCTGCTGCCTCACCTGGGCCAGGTAGCGCCCGTGACCTTCCCGGCGGGCAGCATCACCGCCCTGGCGCAGCACGTGGGCCTGAAGGAAGAGGTCATTGCTGAGGAAGGAGCCTTCGAGCTCACGCTCCAGCCTGTCCAGCACAGCCCTGAGCTCCGCCAGCTGGTCACGCTGCTCCTGGCCGGCTGCCCGGTTGTTGAAGGCACAGTACCTCCTCCCGCACTCCCCCACCAGGACCTGCAGGCCGTGGTTGTCCGTGTTCACCACATACTCATCCAGGGACTCGTTCCCCAAGTCTTCCTTGTGGGTGAACAAGACGACCATGTGCCTCATGGTTTCTGCCCCGAAGACCTCCTTCACCCTCCTCACTGCCATCGTGTCCTGGGCGGTGAAGCGCCCCAGCTGGGTCACCAGGAGCAGCACGTGGGGCCCTGGGGCCGACTGCAAGTAGCAGTCTCCAATGTCCCTGTATGTCTGTTGAGTCCAGGCCCTTGCCTCAAAGATGGGGGGCGTATCGACCACCAGGACGGTCCTCCCCTCCCACGTACCCGTCTCCTCCCGGCACTTGCTGGTCACCGACTGGGCCCCCAGCCTGGACTCAAAGGCTGGGCGGCAGAGGATGCTGTTGCCCGTGGCGCTCTTCCCGCTGCCTGTCTTGCCCACCAGGATGATCCTCAAGGTTGATGAGCCCACAGTGCAGCCCCCCTCTGCATCTGCTGCATGAGAAGTTAATATGTAAGAAAGACTTTGGGACAAAGAGCACAGAAGAATAAAGCCCCAGCAGAACTGGCATCCTAGACCACTTAGGGTGCCTCCACCTATCCTCCCATCACCGACACCCACAGGTAGTGGGTAAAGGAGACTGGTGTAGGGTTGTGGGACAAATTGTCCCAGCCAGCCAGAGTCTAGGTATCTTTCCTCCAGGGACTGCTGGATTGTGCCATCCTTTCTAGGTCTTTCCTCAGTTCAGGCTCTAAGCCCACCACCGGCTGCTGCAGGATGCTCAGAAGTTCCTACAACACTGGGCTGTATGGCCCTGAGCTTCTGCTCCTCCTTTTGTGTTGGGATCCTGTTTCAGAAGATGGCAGGGTTTTATCTGGAAAAACTCGCCCTCCAAAAGCAGAATATAACAGCTGATGACCCAATATGCGTGCAATGCAATATCCAGCGAGCTTGCTCTGTCTTGGGGTGAACAAAGCCCTGTGCCTCTCGCTCCCAGGAGGACGTTTGCCTCAGCATGTGATGGGGGCCTTGGCCTGTTGAGAAGAGCTCTGTCCAGGGCGGCCTCCTTACCTGTGGGAGTGGCACTTTTTCCACCCTTCTGAAGCCCTTGTGCTTTTTCCTAAAGAGGAAAATATACAGGAATAGTTCACACTTAGGTTGGCTGTGATACACAATGCACAACATCACATTTGATCGATGAGGACACTGAGCAATGACACAAAAACCAAAAACTCTGCCAAGATCACACACTACGGAGCTGAGGCTGAGACCCAGGCGTGTGGGGCCCCAGATGTTCCCAGCAGTGGGTTTGCTTCGTGCTGAAGAAGGCACAGAGAGCCCCAAAGGAAGCCTTCCCCGTGCTCACGTTTCCTAAACCCGTCTCCAGTGCTCTGGAGCAGTGAAAGGGGCCATCACCCAGAAGACCAGACAAGCCAGTTGTTTCCTGCTGAGCACGTAGCTGTCTGGTGTCCTTTTCCGCCTTTACCGTCTCAGTGCTACTATCCAATCTGAAGTTGGCCTGGCAGTCATCCTTCCTCAGTGAACTCCCAGAACTCTTTCCCAGGTCCCACAGGGATGGAGGCACAGAGGGGACCCCCATCCTGGTGTGCCCAGTACTGAGCAGTGTCCTGATCGCAGCACTCAGTGCCGAAACTCAGGACTGCACCAAGCAAGCCAGGAAGAGCAGTTCACCTCTGGCAAAGGAGGCTGTCAGGAGGCCAGGTTGGGGGCAAGTCCAGCAAGGAGCGAAGAGCTGATTTGTGAGGCTCAGAGCAGAGTGTCGAGCTGAAGGAAAGACCAGGGCTTCCCTGTTCTTGGCACAGCCTTGGAGCAGTGGCTGCCCCCAGAACGTTTCTCCTCCAGCCCAGCCCTTCTTACACTGTCGTAGTCACTGTCCTCATCGCTGGGGGAAAATAGCTGATACCCACAATAAGGAGGAGAGGTTTATTTTGGCTGGTGGTTACTAAAGTCCATGGCCGGCCGGCTCCAGGGCAGAACAGCATGGCAGAGGGCAGAGCAGAGGAAAAGCTGCTCCATTCATGGTACCCGAAGCAGAGAGTCAAAGGAGGAGCCAGAAAGGGAGACGCAGCCTCCCCGTCACACCCGCAGTGACTGCCTCTTCCAACCAGAAGCAAGTCAGTGCGAAGCTCCCGTAACCCAGTCACCTTCCCAAAGCCCACCTACGAGTACATGAGGCCTTAGAGAATATCTAGTTATAACCCACAACATACGTCTATCTCGTGGTCCTTGTTTTGCCCTCTCCCTCTTCCTGAACTCCAGAGGGTTCCATACATGCAGGCAGAATGACTTCCCAGAACTCACGACTGGGAAAACCCCACACAGCCCTTCCAAACCAGCTCAGGACCGTGCTGAGGGCAAAGCTTCGGGGACTTCATTGCAGCAAGTTCAAGGAGTTATCTCTCAAAATAGCGTCTCAGAACCTTAGGGTCTAGAATGGGCCACCAGAAAAATAGTTTTGGGAACAGGAGAGTTTTCCCAGTACTCTTAGGGAGCACACCCCAGAAGATGCCAGTTCCTCCAGATACTGGCCGGGAAACACAAGACAACAGATAACTCTGAGATCATCTTCATTTAAGCACTAAACATTAAAACCCGGCTTCTGGTGAGCAGTTCCCCAGTTACATGTTCATTACTCCCTCTGAGGGTGTCTGCAGCTCCAGAAAAGAGAAACAGCAGAAACGTCCTGTTTCTTGGACTCTATTTTTCATCCCGATCCCATAGGAACTATTCTAATCTGGTGTGCAAAGCCCACCCCAGAATATGCACAATTTGAAAATGAGTTGTCCACACTGAGGAGCCTCGGTGCTGATTTTATGACTCAGGCTCTGCTCTATATGCAGCACTGGCCTTTGGCATGGAAAGCAGCCCCTGGACATTTTCTTCCCTCTCCGGTCCATGGGACTTTCAAACTAAGCATGGGACTCAGTCTGTGTCAGCTTGGCCAGGCCGCAGCACTCAGTGATCAAGTCTGACCCAAACACTGGTGTGAGGCTGTTGTGCTGATGTGGATAGCTTTAAATAAAGATTACCCTCCATGGCAAGGTGGGCCTTGTATGATCAGTTGAAGGAGCAAAGTTAAAGCTCTTGCAGAAGGAATTCTGTTTCAAGGGTGCAGGATTCACTTCTGCCTCAGTTTCCAGCCTGGCAGCCTCCCTGTGGATTTTGGAGTTGCCGAACTCCACAATCATATGAGCTAATTACTTGAAATAGATCTCTGGATATATGTATCCTGATGTTTCTATGTCTCTAGAAAAGCTGACCCATAATCAAAGCTAAATCTCTCTACCAAAACTCGGGACAAAAAGCCTGAACTCCTTCTCGGCTTTGGCTGCTTTTCCTATTTCTCAGGGATGCGAGTAGGGAGGAGTTTTTGAAGATGGGGCTACCTGGGACAAGAGCTAGCTAACGGGGAAACCGAGGTTTTAGGCACCAACGTGTTTGCAATGCTGATGGTTTTGAAATGGAGGGGGGTTCTTCCCCCCACCCCCACACTGCCCCTGGATCACCGTGAAAGGTGGTCTCCAAGGAGACAGCAAGGGGGAGCTTCTGAGAAGGCCCCAGGTAAGCAGCTGGGGAGGACTGTGCTAAGGCACAGGAAGACTCTATGGAAGAGGCTGCAGAATGGGGCGGGAGGAAGGTAGGGGCTGGTGGTGTTAAGTTTAGAGAGAAGAGGTCACTGGGACCCTGCAAATTCTTTTTTTTTTTTTTTTTGAGACAGGGTCTTGCTATGTAGTTTAGGCTAGCTTTGAACTCACTATGTAGCCCACACTGGCCTTGAACTCATAGCAGTCCTCCTGCCTCAGTCTCCTGAGTGCTGGGATTACAGGTGTGCGCCACCATGCCCAGCCCTGCCAATTCTTACAACACTCCCCACCCCACCGTGAGGGAACCAGGGCACTGGGTTTGATTAAAACCGGGTGGCCTGAGCCTCGCTCTGGGCCAGCTGCTCACAGGACAGGGTCGCCTGTGGGTCCCTCTTCCCGTGGCCCCTGGGCATCGCCAGCTACTCACATGACATGTTTGGCCAAGCGACTGGTAGCAGGCCATTTTCCCCAAGAATAAGAACCTTAACTTGCTGTTTTCTCAGAATCCAGCCTGAGCAAAAAGAGAAGTAAAAGGAGAGGAAGAAATATTGATGATTTCTCATTTTCATAATTTTTTTTTAGACTTTTATTTTCTTTCCAGTCACAGTGTTGCCTCTCTAGTCTGAGTCACCGCACCTTGAGCCAAATGACCGTCACCGTTACTGGCTGCACCCCACACCCACTTTATCTCCTACAGAGAACCTTGCCCGAGACGTCACTGTCATCCTATCCCCACCCAAAAGCCCACTCAGGGCTGGCCAACCCACCTCATCACTTCCGGTCCATCAGTCCCGGTGCATTCACAATGTTGTTACGCAGCTCTGTTTACCAGATAACACCTGCCTCAGGAGGATGGCTCGGCCAATTTGAAGACCAGCCAGGCCCCCACCTGGAAAAGGGTCTCTGGAACTAGCAAGAGAGGCGAGACATCCTCCATGCCTCTCCTGGCTGCAGCATCTCCAGCCTCAGGACAAGAAGAGGCTGGGAGGGGTGGGAAGGTGCAAGCCGCCCTTGGAAATATTATGAAATGGGCTCACACTGGAGGATTGGTCTTGGGCAGATTTTCTTATTCCATTTGCAGAAAGTAATGTTATTTTCCTTACTTCCCCGGAGTCTCTGAGGAGCAGAGGCGCCCTGATTGGGAAACTCCAAGGCTTAGTGTGAGGACTTGCCACTGCTCACGGGTGTGAGTCAGGGTGGTTTCCCGGGAATAAACCCTCTGCTGCTTCTACCTTCATTCTGGCTAATTTGTCTGTTTTAACACATTCTTCTTTTAAAAAGAAAAAATTATGTCTCTTTATCAGAAATGAAAAGCAAACATTATATATGAGCAGATCAACTTGAATCATATCCCTGCAGCCTTTTTCCCTCTTGAAAACAGAAACTATTTCCATCCAGTTGGGCATTCAACAATAAACACTGGGGAAGAAATAGCATTAAAATCCAAAGATGACGGTTTGGCCAGTTCCTCAAGGGGCAGGGCATCCAGGGCTTCTGAGGGGCAGGCGGGGGTGGGAGGAGGGGCTTCACGTGGCCTGCTGCACACTTTAGTATGGGGATCCCCACATCTGTTTCCAGATCTGAGTGCAGCCTCCCCCAGGGGCACATACGAAAACGCCCTTGCACAAAGACGAGAGGAAAACTCTCAGTGTCACCAGGGGCTACTGCCTTAGCTTGTGTTAGTCATCCTTTTAGGGTCCCAAAAGGATTCTGTGGGTAATATTTTCAGCATTCATTTATTTGGGACTTTAGTGCATACAATCCTGGGTCCTAATTTGGAGTAAGGAAACATGTTCAGAAAGATCACGTGCCTTGTCCCGGTCAGCACGGATTGCTCCTGGTGAAACCAAGAAAGGCCAGAAGATGACAGTACAAAAGGGAGAGGGTAAAAAAGGAAGAAAAACCAAGTGCTTTTACCTGGCAGATGTGGAACATTTGCAAGATCCACCCGCAGCCTTGGAGCAATCCTCCTCCTGTGCTAGGCAGCCTCTCTTTGGTTCCTAGTTGCTTCATAAAAACCCAAGAGCAGAGTGTGAGGGCCCTAATTCATCGCCAGCACCAGGAGAGCAGGGTGGGGCAGTGAGATGAAAACCAGCCCACAAAGTCTGTCTGCTAGAGAGAGAACTATCACATCCCCCAAGACAGGAAAAGGCGAGGTATGTGAGTTTGCTTGTACAGCACTCCTTGGAGGGCAGCTCTGACACGGATACCCAGAGGAAATAGCAGCGCTGTTTCCCTTCCCCTGCTACCCTTCTGAGACACTTTTGGACAAAACAAATTCTCTACTAGCATTAAGAAGGGAACAGAGACCCTGGGCCGTGGAGATCCAAACCAAGCCTTCTGCTGCCTCCACCAGCCCAGACAGGCCACGCGCGTCTCCCCACCACCCCTCACCTTTCCCCACACGGAGAGCTCGGTGCGTGGGACTGGACAAGGCTGAACCCAAGGCGGCTCTCCAGGCTCCCTGCACACAATGCAGGTATCCTGGTGTCCTGCCTGAGACAGTCTGTGGCTTCCTCTTATTTCTCAGCCAATGGCCCTGCCCTCGGTCTACCCTCACCCTGACCCGAGCAGAGAATAAGGCTTGGTAGGTTTCCAAACCCTGGCAGAATTCATTTCCACAAGAACCAGGGAGATATCCAAGCCCACCCAATGTGTGACTCAGGCAGAGCGACACTCAGCAGAGGGTTTGGCAGAGGGAAGAGCTTCACCAGTTGCTTGAGCAATTGGGTTCAGATTAATTTTTTAAAGACAAACTATAAGCAGATACAGATAACTCTTGGATCCCAGCTTCATTTAGAAAGGAAGGCAGTTATAACGCACATAACACACACAGATGACACCTTGCAATGAAAGCTAGGCTAGACTTCCAAAATACTCTTCTATATTGATCCTATCATTTGAACTTTTCAAATTATAATGAACACTACACTGGATAAGGTGGACACATCTCCACCTGCTAGGGAGAACAGAAAGAAGGCCTTGTATACTACAGAAAACACTGTTTAGTTTTTGTTGTCTAAAATATTCTGTTTTGTTTCATTTTGAGTCTGGGTTTTGCTATACAGTTCAGGCTGGCCTTGAACTCCCTTTACACCCCAGGTTGACCTCAGACTCACATTGATCTTCCTGCCTCGGCCTCCTGAGTGCTGGGATTACAGATGTGCCCCACCACGCCCAGCTCTAAAATGTTCTGCTATCTCACTTTTGCTAGGAGAAAAAATGCAAAGCGCTAAAGATCAATTCCTCTAAAACAAAAATAATTATTTTGGGACCCTTTTATCTGCTTTAATGGTTTACCATGAATATTTTTATACCTGAGGCCAACTCATTAAGCTGTCTTAACATGTGTTTTCAGACTACTTAAGGCACAAGAAAGGTATCAGATCTACACATGTCATGTTGAGCCTCGATGGTTCTACTAGCCCAAGTACAAGCAGGCTGACACTTGAGTGTCCTAGTAGTCAAGGTGGGGAAACACAGGGTCCTAATCAGCTACGTGCTGCGCATTAGAAAAAATGCAAACCAATCACTGAAAGCAGAATCTTGATCCCATCTTCAGCTGTGGTTTCTAGGCTGAGATGGGATGCCCATCTGTTTGGGTCAGTTGAATGCTTTTTCCTCTAACCTTCCTGTTGCTATATTGGGTTGATTTTTATTGTTATTTATATCTCCTTCATTGTTGATTAAATGAAGTCCTATGTGTTATAGATGCAGAATATTACCTATACTGTGTTACACCCCTTTACAATCTTTTTCTGCTCCATTTTCTCTCTGTATTCCGAGTTCCGTGGCTTCCCTCTTTTCTGGTCAGTGTTAACTAGAGCTGGCTTTCAAAGGGTAAGCTCATCTAATTGGTAGTGAGAGATCTAAGAGCAATAAAGATCTAACAATAAGAAAGGTCATTATTATTTTCTCCACAGCTACAGAGAAAAACAGCAAACATGAATCCTACAGGAGTCTCTGAGCTATCTAGTATACAAAAATTGTGGCTTTGTCCTGCGAAAATAACCTCTCCTCTCTAAGGTCTTCTAGAGAATTATCGTGCTTTATTTTACAATGTGTTTTCTAATTGTCGATATGCCCATTTCTACTACAGACGTGTCCATGATCAAATAAAATAAAATAGTCAAAGAATTTGAGATTCTTATTTCATTTAAATTCACAGTATACTAAGTAAAACAGAATTGTTAATCATTGTCAGATGTCTTGCAAATACCACCCCCTGCTGTTCGTCTCTTAAATCTGTTAGGGTAAGTTTTTCTGTCGGGAAATTTTGGGGCATGATGGTGGATAAAACACACCCCAATCATATTTTTCTAATGAAAATATGTACTTTAGCCTAACAGTAACTGGCTGTGGATATCAGTAGCTGCACTGGGGGAGCAGGGGAAGCAATCTTTGTGTTCACCCACTTGGTACGATGAACAGCAAGATGTGTGCATATATGTCAAAGTGTAAATGGGTGCATTTTACCCATGTTATGTACTGTTACATTTTTGTATATTTATCATTTTTATTACATTTTCTCTTGGTTTTCTGGTAGAATTAGCCCAGTTCAGTACAGTATTGCATGAAAATCCAGGTAGGGGTGAAACCTATTGAACAGAATGCCAACACTGCAATCCAGTGTTAGAAATTGTAATGGATGATATGCTACAAGATGTTTTGAAATGCGCTAATAATGAAATACAAGCAAAACATTCTATATGTACCAACAGTAATTTCATGTGGCTTATCATAACATCTCACTACCTGAACTAAAAGCCTACATAGCAGGACTTTATCACTGTAATTTTCAGAATCACAAGGATTTATGAAGAAGTGACAGATATAACAGAGATTTTTAGAACAATAATGACACTCAAGAGATCTGGTTTCTTTCAAAATTGCCTATGTTTTAAGGTCTAGAAGACCCACTATGAAAGAAAAAAGAAAAAAAGTCTGACAATTTGGCTATTATCTGTGCATTTTTGACAGCTTTGTTTCAAACTGTCAAGCAATTTATACACCATCCAACTACATGACAGGTGACAAACAATTTGCATCATCTCATGACTGTTGAAAGTTCTGGCAATATACACCAAATAAACCTTCCAAATATGGTATAAAAATATATGCCCTAGTAGATGTGAAGACATTTTGCACCTTGAATTTCAAATCTTATCCTGGAACTTCAGCCACCGGGTCCTCATCCATCTCATAATAAACCATATGACATTGCAAACAGACCTATTGCATCTATTTCAAAAAGTAACACAACCCTCACATTGGATAATTGGTTCATGAGTTACCCATTGATGTTACATTTGCTGAAAAAATAAAAGTTGGCCAGCACAGGAACTATTTGCAAGAACAAAAAAGAGATTCCTGAAAAAATGTTGCACATTCACAATAGAGAAAAGTATAGTACAATCTTCAGAATTCAGAAAGACATAACATTGACCTCCTATATGGTGAAGAAAAACAAAAATGTATCAAGAGTCTCAACATTACACCATGATGATAAGACCAGTAGTGAAGCTGGACATGGTGGTACACACTGTAAGAAACAAGGTCTTTTCTATCAAAATATAAACAAGAGAGTATTTCCGTCTTGGATCCTAATCCACCCTGGATGGCCCCTCCTGAACACACTACTTATGAAAATGCCTGCTCAGTCTAAATTCTGAGAACACAGCTACAAAGCAAAGATGGCTAAAGACTTTCTCTTCCCCACCCCCTCTCCTGCTCTTTCTTCCTCTCAGCAACCCTTCAGATTCTCCCCCGCTTCTTTGCCCTGTTTAAACCAGCCAATTGCAATAGATTGTGAACCTTCAACCCTGTCAGTGGGGAAAGGCTAGCTGCTTCTCCTGCATTAAGGATAAAAATGCCAACCTTCCTTCATCCTGCACACCAGCTACCTCATGCTTGTAACCCCTTGCCAGAGTAAAAACTTGCCTTGTTGCGACCTCTTGCCCAGTGTCTGAGTGCATTCCGTCCAGCAACAAAAATTTGAGTCTGGGGGCTTATTTCTGACAGCGCCTATAATCCCAGCACTTGGGAGGCTGATGCAGGAGGACCCTGTGAGTTCAAGGTCAGCCAGTGCTACATAGTTGAGTTCAAGGCCAGCCTGGACTATACAGTGAGACCCTGTCTCAAAAAACAAACAAAAAAGATCAATAGGGAATCCTCAAAACAAATGAAGCCAGAAATGGTCACACTTTACAACAAAATAAAAGGTTAAGTAGATGTTGATGAGTTAGGCAACAACTATAATGTCACTCAAAACACAAAACATTGGCCAATGGTTGTGTTTTACCGGATCCTAGCCATAATTGTTTCATAGTTTACCCCCCCCCCAAAAAAAGCATAAAATATCACAGAGAAATTTTCTTAGAGGATGGGACTGGAATTAATAAATGACCAATTACAACAGAGAAGCCGGGTGTGGTAGCACTTACCTGTAATCCCAGCATTCAGGAGGCTGAGGTAGGAAGATCACTGTGAGTTCAAGGCTAGGTGGGACTAAACAGTGAACTGAAAGCCAGCCTGAGCTGCACAGTGAGACCCTGTGTCAAAAAAAAAAAAATTATAACAGAGGAAAAACAATA